GCGGGCTCCGGCCGCCGCGACGGCGGCTCCGCGCGGGGGAGCCGCTGGCGGCGGCGGGGAACCCTAGGGAGCGGGGGAGCTTGTTGCAATTTTCAGCTCATATTTTGTTATGTGATGATTTATTTATTGTTTATTGACCGTCTTCAGGTTGTCGACCTGGTTATAAGTGCTTTGCCGCCTTTAGTCGAAGAGAGTGACAGTGACGCGAGAGAAAAAGAGTTTGAGGCACTAAAGAAAAAGAAGCAAGAGATCGAAACGCAGGCACACAGGCAAGTCAGACGAATCGTGTGGACAGGTTTGGGGTTCTTGCAGTTGGAACTTGGCCTCATCGCTCGTCTCACATACTTGGAGTTTTCGTGGGATGTGATGGCGCCAATGACCTACTTCATTGCCGGTTTTCACCTGCTTGCCGCCTACGCCTATTTCCTCATTACCTCATCCGATATGTCGTATCGGACCTTCATGGAGGGGATGTTCGACACAAGATGGAGAAAACTCTGCGTCAGACATGGTTTTGATATAGAGAAGTACAGGGAATTGGAGAGACAAATAAGGTGTCCCCTTGGAGGTGAACATTCTAAAGGTTGTAAGTTTAACACCAGAAAAATTATCACTTGTTACCTCTAATTTTCAGAATAGCTGCCATCATTGATTTTCTTTAACACCAAATTTATATCACCAGCTGCGACCAAAGGGATCTTTGCAGATATCGAGTGGTGGCTGAGCGACCGCCAAAAAGACCAAGTTGACTACTCTGATGCCTATAACAAGTTGCTGTGGATCAGCAAGGCCAACCCGAACCACCAGAAGGTGACTATACTAATGGTCTAAATGTCCCTTTTGGTGCAAAGAGAATTCACATAAATTAGGAAGGATTATTTTCCTTCAGAATTTTTCTGCAGGGCTTTGTTTGGTTTGAACAATTAGAAATCAAAGAGTTTTGTCGCATGTTCTATTTTGTGTGCACTTTTAAAGCTACATTTCTGGTGGGTCCAGCCTTAGACAACTATGTCATCCACTTTAGGAAAATTCATGTGTTGTGCTGCTACAACAAAATAATTTAGCTTCACGTTACTTTGCTTCAACTTCAGTAGGAATCAAATTGCCATGACATCCGAATACTTGTGCTTACTCCAGCAGTTAGGCCCTAAAGTAAATTTTTTTGTTTCGACTGTAATTTTCTTGGAAAAATAACATAGATGAGGGGACCCTCCTTTGTATCTTGGCCAACCTTTTTTCTTTATCTTGTGGTTGTCGATGCTTAATACTCTAGTACACCGAATACACTAGGAGCGTGTTACTGCTCAAATTGGTTGCAAAATACTGCGATGAGATTCGGTTGCATGGAACATGCATATTTCGATGGATAGTATTGGGACTAAACTAAGAAATATTATGATTTATCAGATTGATTATTGAATAGTTGTAATATATTGCTTAATGGACGGGAAACACCAAAGCATTTTCCCATGCATGGTTGCACGTTGAGGTAGCACTTTCCATGTATCTTTGCATATTGAGGTGTCATTTTCCTATGCATGGTTATTGAGGTAGCATTTTCTCCATGCATGGTTCGATATTGAGATGTCAATTTCCTATGCATTGTTGCATGTCGAAGTGATATGCATGTTTATATCTTGAGTGAAATAGGTTAGTGGGATCACCTAAGGCCGAATTTTTGCTTTCATTCAACATATATATTTGCAGCTGGTGAGCCAAGTGTCTACAATATTTTTCTTGGAGAGACTTGAATAATCATCGTTGTGCTTAAGTTAGAGCAACTCTAGCAGACCCCGCAAAACGCGTTTGCAATTCGTGCAAAACCACTTTTGCGGGCTGGCAAGGGCTAGCACAGATGCAGACCCCCCCAAACGGACTCGTAAAAAAGTATATTCGCGAAATATGCTTTTTTACGGGTCGACTATGCGGGTTTTGCTCGAGCAACAGCGCAACGACCCGCAAATAGAAAAACTGCAAATCTGAAATTTGTTATAGGGTTTCACAAACAAGTTTAAATTCAAATGACATAAACAGTTTGCGCGCAAATAAAAGCGAAGTTCATTACGCAAAAGAGGGCATGCAAAGGTATGCGCCCATGTCCGGCATCATCTTGGGGGTCGATCTTCACTCCGCGCCATGGAGTCCATCTTGAAGTTCATCGGCGCCACCGTAGCCACCTCCGTCGCTTGTTCCAACTCCCGCACCGAAATCATCCACATTGCCACCATATGGAGCAGAGAAAACATCACCGGAACTGGCAGACGGACCGGCCGAGGCGACCATTCTCCTCTTCAAGATCTCTCTCCGACCATCGCTATAGCGAACGATAACAAGTCACGAGCTATCGAAAACAATGGCGAAAATGAAAGAGAATCGCCGAAGTCCGAAGAGATATACCTTCCGGCCATTTCGTCAAACACCTCGCTCGCGGGGGGAGCGGCACCATTGAACGTCATCGCCGGAGCACCTCCTTGCGGGGGGATGGAGTGAGAGGTTGAAGAAGATGGCTTCCTTGAAGTCGGAACCTTCCTCCGCTTTGCGCCCGCGGCCTTGCCGACCTTCTCCGCCTCCGGCCGGGATCGCACAACGGCATTGGCGCCTGGAGCGCGGGCCATCGCAGCGGGGGCAGCCAGATTCCCGCCCTGCACAACCATGTTGCCCTGCGGCTTGCGGGCAGGCGCGGCGTGTGCTTGGGCAACGCCGGCGGGGCCAACATGGCCGGCGACGAGATCCGCCCGAGGGGAAGGGGCGTGCGAGACCTCGACGGTGACGGGGGACAGCATGGGGTCGTCCATGACGGCGAGGGACGGCCGAGGAGGAGCAGCCGGAGCTTTCGGAGGGGGCAATGGTGGCGGAGGGTGCGGGGAGCGAGAAAGGGCGCGCGGAAATGTCCCTCCCGCCAAATCTCGCGCCGGATGGGGGTTGAGCTCAGGTCGGCCTCCCAGCCCGTGAAGATAGAGGTTGGGGGAGAAGATTTGCCGCGCCCCGCAAAAATTTTTGCGGGCCGGTGCCGGATGCGGGGTCTGGTCGTGCAGATTTTTTGGCCCCCACCCGCAATTTGGCGGTTATTTTGCAGGGGGCATTTTGCGGGGTCTGCTAGAGTTGCTCTTAGCATCATAAAATCATGCTATAAAATTGACGAACTACTTCTCCTGGTATTATATTCAAAGGTATTTTGATTGGTTCGTGGACAATAATTTTGCCTGATTTGCTATACAAATGTTTTCGCGGTTTCTTACTGAGATATTCATAAGAGAAAAAACAATAATCAATCATGGTAGCATATGGGAGAATTTGTCCAATGTGTAAATTGTCATATGTTTCCAAACTGAGAGAATATCATTCTTTTATTGAAAAGACATGGTTACGTGAGCATCAGCCGATGTAAGACCGAGGATTTTCCATCCTTTTTATCTCATTTTAAAGATTAGTCATCCAACTAACTATATAGGCATTCCTTTGTTTACAAGAATTTTGTTGGAATTCCATACAATAGGTTTCCTGTAGGAAATTTTCCTTTACTGCCCTTTTGTTTGCAGAAATGGATTCGTATTCCTATATGGGATTGGTTCCTATCTTTCACGTTTCAAAGAAAAAATAATAATTAGTTGAGTCCTAATAGAAAAATTCATATCCAACGAACCAGATGACATCTTTTTTCTACAGGATTTGAGATACATGTCATCTCAATTCCAATAACTTTCCTATTCCTATCATACTCCCGTCCTGTTAACCAAAGGAGACCATATAGTCTACTTTGTGAAAATGACGGTTGTAACTTTATCAATTACTCCATCCGTCTCATAATGTGGTGCATTTTTTATAAAGTCAAACTTTGTAAATTTTGATCAAGTTCATAGAGCATATTATCTATGTCAACGATACCAAACATATATAATATGAAAATATGTATCAAGATGTATCTAATGTATGTAGTTGATATGCTAAATATACATACATACATACATACATACATACATACATACATACATACATACATACATACATACATTATGTATATCTTTTCATGTATATGTATGTATGTCTAGCATGTAACCTTGGTCAATGTTTGCAATGTCTATCTTTTAAAGAATTTATATGTACTACATTATGGAATGTCGGGAGTACCAAGTAAATGCGAAGATTTTTTTTCATCTGAATTGATTTGTATGCTGAAATGTCTTTGATTTCATATATGGGAAACTGACAGATCATTTTTTTTTCATTTCGCAGCTGATATATTTATTGATCATTGAATATTTTTAGGTTTGTGACCTGGTTAAAAGGGCTGTGCCGTTCGCACTCACACCGGAGAACGAGGCGAGAAAAGAAGAGCTTAAACAACTCCAGAAAATGATGAAAGAGATTGAAGGCCGGGCACACAAGCATGCCAGGCGGATTATATGTTTTGGCTTTGCGTGCCTCATATTTCAGTTTGCCCTCTTCTTCCGCCTCACGTACTGGGAGTTCTCATGGGATAGAATAGAGCCGATCGCTTTCTTCTTTGGCGGAACCCAGCTGGTGTGTGGCTATGCTTATTTCATCATCACCTCCCGTAATCCGTCGTTACAAGACTTCCTGCAGACGCTATTCATGTCAAGGAGGAGAAAACTATGCGCCAAGCAAAATTTCGATATGAAGAGGTACCTGGAATTGCAGAAGCACTCGGGCTGTCCTCGGAAAGGTGATTATTGTTCTCAAGGTCGTAATTAATTAAGCATTATGACTTGTAACGCTAGAACTAAAATTGCCCAGTTGTTAACTGATGCTGACAGTGACCACTGCCTTTGCTTCTTTAGTTACCAGAAGAATCACATCACCGGTTGTTACGAAAGTGATCTTGAAAAGAATCAGTAATCACGTAGTCAACTTTTTTTTTGCGATGGAATCGCATACTCACGCTAACTTTTGAGCCTTAGTTGTGCAAAATTCCCCATAACTTGAAGCATTGCTTCAGCACTTCTGCTTCGGTACACCCCCCTTAAACACATCAAGGGCTGAGATTCCTCCATACCCTTTCGTTGTCAGGGGCACGATCGTCTTACTTAAGAAAAAAAAACCCCGCGCGTCCTCGCCGATACTCCGCGCGCCTGTGTGTACGCGGCTACGGGACGAGCCGAGCCGCTTGGCAGCCGTGAGCACGCGAGCCGAGCCGAGCAGTTAGCATCCACGGGCCTAGTATATCAGATGCAGGGCGTGTTTTATTAAAAAAAGTCGGCGTTGACTGGTGGGGCGTACGTGTGGATGTGGCGCGGACGGCCGTATCGCCGTGCAATTAACTGCTTTGCAGTAATGGCGGCGTGCATGCAGGCGCCGACTGCTCGCGACTGATCTTCTGCCGCCCGCCTGCTACCCTCGTAGTCCGCGCCCTCCACTGTCGCGCGTGCGGCGACCGGGCGCCTGCCGCCAGCCTTCCGCCTCGGGCCGGCAGTTGACGCGACCAGTCGGCTGCCGCCGCTGCGGCGACCGCCCGCCCGTCTTCACACGCCACCGTCGCATCGCCTGCCGCGCCTGCCGTCCTCGTGCCTTCCCACGCCACCGCTGCCGCGCCCAAACGCCAGGGATGCCTTGGCTGCCGCGCCGCGCCTTCACACACCGCCGTTGCCTCGCTTTCACACGCCACCGCGCGTGCCGCCAGCCGCCCGCCTCTCCCTCGGGGCACGCGCCACCGATGGCTCGCCCGCCCACCTTCCTCCCCCGCCGTGTATAAAAGGCCGCGCCAGCCCCTCACCACGCCGTGCCATCTCCCTCGCCCCACCCATCTCTCTTCCTCTCCTCGCCCGCCCATCCCCCCTCCTCGCCGGCAATGTCTTCCAGCGACTCCGACGAGGGCGCGTGGCCGAGTGGCGTCTGGCCGCTGAGCCTGACCATCGGCGACACGGAGGATCTGGCCCGGTACGGCCTGATGGTGCCGCCAACAGCCAAGTTGCCGAGGCCATGACAGATCGGGGCAGACGGCATCCCAGCCATGGGACCACCGTCGACGAGGGAGCAGCTCCGCGCGTTCCCTGGCAGCCGGTACAACCGGAGGGCCCGGCGCAGGTTCTGGCGCGGGAAGAACTTTGACATCGTCCTCGGCGCGTTCAGGGACGCGGCGGCCGGCTGCACCGTCGGGGACATTACCGGCGAGGACGGCACTTCCCGTGGTCGCCACCGCCACGACCCACCTCCAGCCGCCCCCACTGCCCCGGCACAGCAGGCGCCCCTGCCCCGGCGCTGGTCGAGATCCCGCCGGCGCAGGCCGCCCTTGCGCAAGACAGAGACCCTGATGACACACCGGGGCTACTTGCGGTGCTGGCCCGGTCGGCAGAGGAGGAGGCGACGACGACCACTCATGAGGAACGAGAGCGGCTGGCGGCCATAGCGGCGGTGCAGGAGTACCAGGCGTGGGAAGACAACTGGTGGGATTTCAGTGACGACGACGATGATGGTGGCGATGATGGCGGCGACGGCAGCGAAGGAGAGGCCGGCGGTATGGCCTCGGTCGTCGACCTCACTGGCGCCAGCGACGACGAGTAGTCTAGTGTTAGGGTTTTTATTTAAATTTCGGTCTAAGTTATGTAAGAGCAGTGCTCGGTTATGTTTAGGGTTATGTAAAATATTTTGAATTATGAATGAACTCGGAATCGCTTATTTGAAAAAAATCCGTATGTTTAATTTGATGTTAGTCGTGCAACTTCAAATAAACGGAAAGATACATTTCAACGTTACGAGACGGTAATCGACACATAAATTGTAGAAACATCAGTCGCAAAACGCATGCATGGGGCCTTCCCTCATACCCGAACGGTCTCCGAAGAACTTGTCATGCATGCACACCAAAAACATATTACGTCACGTCCGGGGTGTGGTATGTGGTGTTTTCATGAAAAAATTATGAAAAAATCTTAAAGCGATAAAAAATCCAGAAAACTTTTCATGTATCCTAATGATGATGGTGGAACACTATAAAAAAATGTGGGTACATTTCAAGGATGTCGGAAAAAAACTCCTTTCGTGCGCGGCCTTCGGTCCTAGCCAAACGGTCTCTGGAGAAGGAGGCCAATTTGTCGACATATTCGGAATGACCTCAATTTTTGCAAGTCAGTTGGTATGCCCACCCCCACAGTCAATGCAAGAATTGAACGTATTTGGACATCAAAAACATGTTGCGTCATGTCCGGGGGTGTGGTATGTGGTGTTTTCACCGAAAAATTACAGAAAATTCATAAAGTAAAAAAAGCCACAAAACTTGGCATGCATCCTACTGATGATGGTGGAACACTATGGAAAAAAATTTGAGTTCATCTCAAGGATGTCGAAAAAAACTCCTTTCGGACGGTCTCCGGAGAAGGAGGTTAATTTTTCGACATATTCGGAATGACCTCAACTTTTGCAAGTGAGTTGGTATGGTCACCCTGACATTCAATCCAAGAATTGAACGTATTTGAACACCAAAAACATGTTGTGTCACGTCCGAGGTGTGCTATGTGCTGTTTTCACAGAAACAATTATAGAAAATTCATAAAGCGATAAAAAAGATAGAAAACTTGGCATGCATCCTAGTGATGATGGAGGAACACTATAACAAAATTGAGTTCATTTCAAGGATGTCGAAAAAAAAACTCCTTTTGAACGGGTCCTTCAGTCCTGCCCGAACGGTGTCCGGAGAAGAAGGTCAATTTTTTGACATATTTGGAATGACCTCAACTTTTGAAAGTGAGTTGGTATGGTTACCCTGACAATCAATCCAAGAATTGAACGTATTTGAATACCAAAAACATGTTGTGTCACGTCCGGGGTGTGCTATGTGCTGTTTTCACAGAAAAAATTATAGAAAATTCATAAAGCGATAAAAGATACAAAACTTGGCATGCATCCTAGTGATGATGGAGGAACACTATAAAAAAATTTGAGTTCATTTTAAGGATGTCGAGAAAAAACTCCTTTCGGACGGTCTCCGGAGA